AATCTACATATGTCAACGAAAATATGTGCTAGATCTCCTAGAGGAAACATGCATGATGGAATGCAGGCCAACAAACACTCCAATAGAACCGAACCATGGACTATAAGAATCAATGGGTGAGGAATACTGTGATAAAGAGAGGTACCAAAAATTGGTAGGAAAAATGATATACTTATCCCTTGCTCGGCCAGACATTGCCTATGCAGTGCATGTTGTTAGTCAATTTATGCACTCACCAAAGATCCCTCATATGAGAGCAGTGGAAAGAATTCTTAGATACTTGAAAACTTGCCCAGGGAAAGGAATTCTATTAAGGAAAAACAACAGACTTGAAATTAAAGCCTACACTGATGCTGATTGGGYTGGGTCTGTTGGAGACAGAAAATCAACCTCAGGTTACTGTACATTCTTGGGAGGAAACCTGGTCACATGGCGCAGTAAGAAGCAGAATGTTGTGGCTAGATCAAGTGCAAAAGCAGAATACCGAGCTATGGCACACGGGGTTGCTAAACTCTTATGGCTCAGAACTATTCTTAATGAGCTTGGTATTAAGGCTGAGAGTCCTCTCAGGCTGTATTGTGATAATAAAGTTGCTATCAATATTGCCAACAATCCCGTGCAGCATGACAGGACAAAACATATTGAAATTGATCGACACTTTGTTAGAGAGAGAATTGTTTTAGGAGAACTCTGTGTGCCTTATACTCCATCAGAGATGCAAATTGCAGATGTATTGACTAAAGGACTGACAACAACAAAGTTTAGGGACATACTTGGCCAGCTAAACATGATTGATATCCATGCGTAGCTTGAGGGGGAGTGTTAGAATGTTAGAATGATGTCTCTTTGTATGAGTGTTCGGCTGATAAGAGTTCTTATTAGCCCATACTTAAGTTTAAGTTATCCTGTAACTGGGCCTAAGCCTGTTTAATGTTTTAAGTTAACTTGGTGTCCCATATCGTGGGCATTCCAGTAATTTCTTATATCTTGTATTACATTCAAATATAAATAATAGCATGGTCGACTGGCTAGTACAGTTCGACATTCCAACATCTCTTCTTCTTCTCCTCTTTTCTGCTACTTCGACTACAGTAGTTCAGCTTTCACAATGATTGCAATTTGTATGGTTATTTCCTGCTCTGGTAAATCTCCTATTTGGGGAGTAGTTACTTGCAAGTTTAAAAATATTGATACATCCAGGCTTATCGGCAGGGGTGTATCGATACTTTTTACCCCACGCTTTTTATTTTTTTATTTTTTATTTTTTTTCAAAATTTCATTTTTAGACATATCTTTGTATTAATAAAAATATTGGTTTCCTGAAAACACCTTTAAATAGATGCATCGGAAACCCAAAGATACGATATGATATACCCGATACAGGGCGTATGTATCAATTCTTTGAACCTTGGTTATTTAATCATTGGTCTCTTTTTTTTTTTTGTAGAAACTTAATCATTGGTTTCAAATCCTAGCATCTGTACCCTTCATTCTCTAGAAACCTTTTCTTGTCCCATCTAGATTATCTTCTTTGTTTATTTGCTATATCTTTTTAATAGAATCTCCAATTTTTGAAAAAATCTTTAGTTAATTGCTCATGTGAAGGGAGTTTATTATGACAGTATTGGTTGGAACAACTAATCATATATAGTGCAGGGGTCCAGGCTCACAGCCTTTGAGTTGGTTCATGACAAGATACCTGCCACTCTTATAGCTGATTCAGCAGCTGCTGCATTAATGAAATCTGGTCGTGTTGATGCAGTTATCGTTGGAGCTGATCGTGTAGCTTCAAACGGTATTTTCTGTGAGGAACATAATCATAAATTGATTTATCTGATATTTTTTGGGTATTTGGTGATACACACCACTAATAACCCCCTCCTCAAATTTGGTGGTTGCGGTAATAGAATCCGCATATCTGCTGGAGCGAACCAACTAACATACCAACTGAGCCACCCCTCAGTTGGATTTATCTGATTTGAGCCGATACTGTAAAATAGGTTCTAGATTTTTAACACATTTATATTTTAAATGCAGGTGACACTGCTAATAAGATTGGAACCTACAGCCTTGCCCTTTGTGCATTATATCATGGGATTCCATTTTATGTGGCTGCACCAGTGACTTCTATTGATCTATCCCTTCCTTCTGGGCAAGAAGTTGTAATAGAGGAAAGGTCAGCAAAGGAATTACTGAATTCACGTGGAGGACTTGGGGAGCAGGTAGCTGCGTCTGGGATCTCAGTCTGGAATCCTGCTTTTGATGTCACCCCAGCTAATCTGATAACTGCTATAATAACTGAAAAGGTATCTCCTTCTAGCATGTTTTAGTCTATACAATTACTGTGTTGGAATCATTACACGCATCTAATTGATTTTCGTTGTGATAATTGGCTTTTGTTCTGAACAGGGGGTTATTACAAAGAATGGCACCGAGTCTTTTGAAATCAAGGATTTTGTACATAAGGCTGGTTAAACTGTTATATTGGTCCCACATTCTGATCCAAGGTGCTTAACATAGAGAAATATTTTAAAGTTGTGGAACGAATTGGAAGAATTTCCTGCTGTCATATTTATTCTTCCTGGATTTTTTAACATAAACACATCCTCGTTTTATTTTCTTCTTTGCAAGCTCATGGGCCATGTCTAGTCTTATTCATACTCATCAAAGTACTTAGGGCAGCTGTTCGGTGATTGTGCAGAGGTCCAGGTACTTGTGCCGTTGTGCGTTTGTTTCGGGCAGTGTTTTCAAAACCGGACTGGAAAAATTGGGAACCGGTCACCCGTTTTTTGGCCATTGAACTGCTGACTTGGGCAGTCAAACCGTCGAGGACAACGGTTTTAGGCCAATTTTGTTTTTTGTTTTTTAATTTTTTATTTTTCAGAGTGGGTCATCCATTTGGACTGGATGGTTGGACAATTCGACCTGGGACCGGACCAGAACAGTTCCCTATCCGGTTTGGTTTTGAAAACCTTGATTTGGTGTGCTTGCACTCCAGTCTGGTTTTGACCACATTTGGTAGCAGTGTTTTTATATATTGTAAATCCATTCTCAAGAAAGTTTTTTGCATCAATAATAGGTATAATGTAAATACTGATTTTCTTTCATTTTTTTTTTATGTAAAACTTTCTTCTCTTCTCTAAGCTTTCTAGTCCGCATTTTATGCCTTTAGTAAACCATGATCACTCTATTCTAAGGTTCAAAGTATCGATACGTATCATGTGATATGCCCCTACAGGGGGTGTATCAGGGTTTTGACCAGTTAGGGGGTGGAGGAGCCTTAAACTGCCCCCTGAACAGGTTTTGAAAAAAAAAAAATAAATAAAGCAAAAAAAATACTATCGATATCCCTCGGTGTATCGGGCGTATCAGAATTTTGAACCTTGCTCTACTCCACCGTGTAAAAGTGTATTTATACTGCAACCAAATGCAGCCAATATTTTAAATGGGAAAATGTTTGAAGGGAATGGTTTGTGGACCGATTCATTTATGAAAGCTCTCTAAACAACCTAGGACTATCACTATGTGGCAACATATTCCAAAGCGGAAAAAAAATTCGAGGGTTGATTTCACTGACCTCCTAACATGAAGCAACCTGTATTTAAAAAGAAATTGTTTGGGTCTCCCGTCTTCTTAAAACTGTTCAAAGTAAATTTCATACTTCCAGTTAGCCAAAGAACGAGATTATCAGATTACCCAACAGTTGGAGTTTATCCAACTCAGCTTGAATTAGATGACTGAAAATACTACTTATTCACTATAATAAAAATTCAATACATTGTTACCTTTCTTCAATGGCCGAGGAGGATGATTGAGAAACCACAAACCCCCATAAAACTCTCTTAATGTCCATAAAAAAACTATGTTATAGAACTTAAAAGAACTATGAACAAAGAAACCCAATTTGTTGGATGAAAAACCATTCATTTGTTTCAGATTCTATTACCATAATCGTAAATGAACAGATTGCTTCAATTGTTTGGGGAAATGATTTAACTTAACGGATTTAGTGGATGGAGCTAGCAAGGATTCTCCCTAACCCCTAGCCTACATCCCCAGCTGAGAAGGCAGAGAGATGCCGACAAATTTATTCATGCGTTGGTCTATTTCGGCTTGTGATCTTCACCATTCCAAGTTTCCAACAGCCCACTGCTAATTCTACTCTCGTGAAGAAAACTCTTGTTCATGTCACATTTGCTTTATCATGTTTCCATGTACAGTGGTGTTATTGCCAAAACATCCTCACGTGAAAAAAAAAAACACAAATACCTTTGACATGGACACATGTAAAATCAATGATGGGGGTGGATTTCGTAGGATTAGCATTGTTCGAATTTCGAACAGTGATTTGCCTTTGACCAAAAATAGCTGTGGAACCTAAGACAAGGCCAAGAAAGATTAGGGTCCATTTGGTTCTCAGAAATAGAGGTTTGGAATTGGTCTACTTCAATTTCAATTGTTTAGTTGGGCGCAACAAAATTCCAATTCCAATTGGTGGGATGGCATTTTCTATTTGAGGGAATGGCCATTTGGTCCTCCTTCTCTAGCAAATGAGAATCTCATTCCAGCTGATTTTGAATTGATTCCAATTCCCCTTTGAACCAAATAGGTAGGGAAATATACCATTCTGATTTCAGAGGGTTTTGGTTCCAATTCTGATTCCAACTGTGAACCAAATGAGGATGGAGTGCTCTAATGTTTTTTGTTTTTTGCACATGCATGAGCATGATGCCTTACCCACTCAATTCCTTGTTTATTTAAAGGGTTATTGATTGTAATTACTCCTTTACTCTATACCCATGCTAATCTCTAATGTACATGAAGCTTTAAAGCAGTCCAGACTGCTTTATCCAAATGGTTAGCCTTAAGGCTTTTGATTCATTGGTTAAGCACTTAAGAAATAGTATGAAAGTCATAACTTTCATGAAAAGGACTACTTAAAATAAATGTCCTGTTTATTTTTTGGGAAATTATTTATCTAGGTAAGTAAATGCACTTATTTGGTTTTTAGAAAAATGCTTATATAGATAATTACACCTATCAATGCTCTTTTGTTTTTTAAGTAATGAGTAAAATTAAACAATAACCGTTGTACCCATAAATATCATTATTGGAAGGGGCTATGTTCTTTTATCATGTGTTAGTAATTTTTCTCACGAAGGAAAAAATGGAGAGAGGGTAATACTTAACAAGTTAACTAATACACTTGGGAATAGTTTTTTTTTTTTTGTCAAAAGACCCACTAATTCCAGAAAATGAACGCTGTTAATAAATCAACTCTCCAATTGACCAAGTTGCCCACCTTTTTACTGCAAAATGAATGGTAACAAAATAAAAGCCACCAAAGGAAAAGGGTTAATTGTTGCTATAAAGTGTGAACTGTTATGTTATGAAAAGAAAGGGCTACCACCACCAGAGTAAAAGAAAAGTCGTTGTGGAGAGGACTATTTGCCGCTCTGAGTGCATGTGGAATCTATTCAGAATAAAGTTTACCAAAACATCAATTGCAAAAGTGAGTGTGGTGGTATAGTGTAATGTTGAAGGATAAACGACTTGTGCCTTACGCTTTTGATGTATTGATCAAACACGTAATAGAAAAGATCAGCTTATGTGACCCAAATTCGACAGATCCAGGCTGGTATCACTTATATATGCAAGGAAATTAATAGACTATATATGGAATCACGGATGTTGATTGTTTAAAAACAAAGTAACTGAAAGTCTTAAAGTGGGTGAGAAATAAATTTGAACCCAAGCCTATCTTATGACGTGGTTTAGATTCGATTTGTCGTGTCCGAGTCGAAACTCATGACACCTTTTTAAGTCTTCAACCTTGTGAAGGAAGAAAAAAACGAAAGAGTACTGAACTGTTAGAAAGCATCGTTGACGTAGCGCGATAGATGATTAGATGCCCACTTTCTATATACGTTGTTATGTTATGATATTATTTGACCTCACCCATCTAAACTCCAAATTAATTATATCAGATATAAATAGCACAAACAGCCCTCTGGGTTCCTAGAAGCGCTCTGTGGAAATGGACAGCTCCGTTGACGAGCAATTCCTTACCTCTGCAACTTAGTCCATTGGAATCGCATAAACTGCATTGCACGAAAAGAAAAGAAAAAAAAAAAAAACCCTAAAAAGACGTTTCGATGTTGAAAGCTGGTTGGCTCTCCTCATCTTCCGATTGGATTTAATTCATCCCTGACATCTTACCTCATCCTCTGATATACCGCTCTTTTGAAAATTTTATCAGATGGAATTGTTTCTATATATGTGTTTATTCTGGGGCATCACAAGAATGGATTCTGCAGTGCTGCAGCTGCGGCTTTGTATGTAGATCAAAAGTTGATCACATAGAACCAGCCCAGCCCCCAACATAAGCACACAAGTTGATCGATCACTCTACAGTACTACAGTAGGTCTGCGTTTGGTGGTTATTGATGGCCGTAAGCCCGTAATTGAGATGTGGGGTGGGGCTGTAGTGTCTTGGTGGGTAGCATATCTCCACTAGTTTTAATTGATATGGCAGTAGATTTGGTATTGAAAACCAAACATCTTCTATATTATATTTTATATACTTGTTCATAAAATTTAAATCCAAATATCATTTGTCATATATACGTGATTAATGCTAATTTGTAATTTGTTTTCGCCCAAATAACCTAAAAATTTTTACCAATCCAAATTAATAACCAGTTTGGTAAGTTTCTTTTTTTTTTTTTCTCTATAGTTACGTTCAAGGTTCTAAACATCTATACAGGCTGATAGGTCGAAGAGACATATTAGCCTGCTGTATTGTTGGATGCTTTTATTTGTTGGTATAAAATCTGTTTATCCCCTGAAATAGGTCAATCGATATATAGGATGCGTATCAATTATACATTGCGAAATTTGGATCCTTGGTTATATGGGTTTGATCTCACCCTCCAAATTTGAAGGATGCCAAGTGACTATCAGGGCTCTTTGGTCACTGGCCTTCACCAAGGGTTTAAGTTTGGAAAATTTCGATCACATCAAACCTTTGGTCCATGCATGTATGTTCTTTTTAAATTCTGATATAAATAGCAGCTGAGATGGTCACTCCATGCTAATCCAAGAAAAAGGTACAAAGCCAAGATGAAAAAACTTGAAGACATTTAGAGGTAAGGCTTATGGGCCTCAAATACACCCAGCTTTGTCCCACTTCCCCAAGTTCTCTTCTGAGACTTGTAAAAAAAATGTTTTCTTCTTCGAATTGTCTATTGCTGGTCCTAACAAATTAAGACAGCAGACTTGTCATACTCATACATCTATCTATTGTTTATTATGCAGAAAGGTCCATAGACTTGTTTTTTTTTTTTTTTTGGTAAAACATATATTTCACTATATAGCACCTAAAGTCTCAATTTTTATTAAGCAATGCCTATCTTTCTGCCTTTGTGGCTGACGAAACACGATAAAGAGTAGAATAAGCTGTGTTTGGTTTGTGGTTGACGAAACAATATAAAGAGTATAATAAACCACGTTTGGTTTGAAAAAAAATAAGAAATGGGTATAAGTTGGGTACTGGACGGGTACAAGTTGGATGTCCAATTTTGTAGAATTTATACAACTTTGGGCCTGAGTAAACTCAAATCATAACAAATGCTAAACTTTTAGCACGTTCAAATTGTAACCCTAAAAATAGAGAGGCAGAAAGTTGAGGTAAAATTTTAAGGAATTTCTAAATTTTGGCTAGTTTGTTTGCAGTGCAAGTATGAAGTAGCTTGAGTGTAAAATTTTATTTACTTTTTGCCTCAGTTTGACTTTTTTTTTGTGAAAAGTAAAATGAAATAGAATAGTATTATAGAGGTAAAAATAAGATGTGATCTCCACTTTATTTATTTATTTATTTCCCCAAATCCATAACCCCAACCCAGGTGCAGGTGGGATATGGTCCCAACTCTCCACTATAATCGGCAAGAGACCTTACCAATCAGGTAGGATTCGATCTCACTTTATTTGAAAGAGAATTATCGAGGAAGATATTGCAAAATTTGCATAAGTGTTTGAGATACAAAATTTGCACATCTAGAATTACAAATTAAATGAGACAAAATAAAATACAAATTTTGCATGATTAGAATTCTAGTATGTGTTTGGTTCGTTTAGTTTCACCGTTTATCAAATAAATAGTAGAAAACTAAAATACTTTGATTTTTGTGTATGGAGCATTTGGGAAAACGTCAAATTCTTGTTTTCTCCAAAACCCCAACGTTTCTTGAAACCAAATGATGATGTGACACATTTTAATGGATGTTAATCTGAGGTGGTGAATAAAAAATGTTTTAAGTAAAGTCCAACCAAATAAAAAATAAATAAATATTTAAAGTGAAAAAGTATAAATAAACATTTAACGTAAAAAATTACGACCACCCATAAACACAAAAGGAACCAAACACCCTCCTAATCATAATCAAAACTCAAAAGCAAACTACCGGCAGATGCAAAACTGAACCAAGTACAATTTGGATCCATTTCATATTTGCATTGCTAACAGGATCTTTTGCTTGAAAACTTTTCCCTTTTTTTGTTTCACTTAAAACCATCCAAGAGACAAATGAACTTACCATTATATAAAGGAAGTTATCATATCAGTCTGATCTCTGATAAGAGCGAATATCCACTCCTTGCGTGATAAGTGGGACGGGAAGCAAAAATGGTGCTGCATGGCATGGGGTTTCAAATTTTCAATCTGACGAGAGCAAAAGTCCCTGGGGGTGCTCATGGTTCGGTTAACCGACAATGGGCCTCTTTTTTTTGTAATTGAATCGATATTACCAGTTTTTGAAAAATTGGTAATTAAAATCGAATTAAAATCAATTGGTTAACTGGTTAATCGATTCAGTTACTCATCAGTTCGGTTCTTCAGTTTTTTATTTTTTACAATATATTATAAAAATATAATAAAAAATTATAAATATATATATAATATTGTATTTTAAATAAATAAATAATAAATAATATATCATATATTTATATATATAATGCATATTTATTAATTTATAATATATACAAATATAATGTATATATTATATATATAAAATATATAGAAATATATGTATACCAATTGATTCAATTAATTACCGATTTTTTATATTGATTAATGAAAACTGAATCATACCTTTAGTTTTTTAAAAACACCAAATCAACAGATTCGGTTAACCGATTTTTCGGTTTGATTTCGATCGATTTTTCGGTCAGTTCAATTTTTCGATTTTTTTTCCTCACCCCTAAAACCCCCCTTTGTGAGTCGTGATATTCAGTCTGGCGCTTAATTAAAAAACTCTTTTGCTGCGATTAGAATATGAATAAAAAAAACACTGAAAGAAAAAGTGTTATTGCGCCTTTTCGCTTTTCATTCTGAATTCGAATTTTGATTTAATATACAAAAAACAATTTCATTCAATTCATCAATTGGTTAAGTCTAAATGGGTAATCATCCAGATCCAAGTTATACGGTTCGGTTTGAATTCGAATGGGATCAGTATGCAAATGCAATCATCCATGTACATGTTGCAGCGCTGGTTGGAATTGGGCCACAAAACGAGGAAAAAAAGTTTCCCGGTGGTTCATCATTCATACAAATGGGATGAGTGATTCCTGTCAGCAGGGAGCCAGAGACGCGCCTTTTTGGAATGGAAACCTAAATAAAAGAGAAAAAAAGAAAAGGGGAGTGGGAAAAGCATTTTGGGAGACCCAGTCTTTCTTTTTGAAGTGCTGTGTTTCTTGTCCGATATCTCTCGAAATTCTTCAAATTCCCTGACTTCCAAATCTCCAATCTCACGCATACCTCGAAAAAGAAACAACAACAGTAGTGATTTTCTTTTGGAAAGACCTGAGTTGTTTCTTTTGAAGGAATTCGGCAGCGTTTTTTTCATCTTCTCACTGCAAAGCGTAAATTTGATTTCACGAGCTTTTCGCCATTGTTTGGCATTTTGGGTGCTATTGTAATGCTTTTTTTTTTCCTAGTAGGAATGGGTCTTTTTTGTTCGCTTGAGAGAATATATGACTGGATGGATTTGGATTTGTTTGCTGTTCAGTGGTAGCCGGTAGCCCTTCTGCCGAAGCTCTGTGATGTTTGGTTTTCCTTTCTGAAGGTGAGAATTTGGGAATCATCTATCAGTGGAACAGAAAATGTATCTGGTTTTCAGGGTAGCCTATCTCACTTCTATCTGGAGTGGAAATCTGGGTTACTTTGAAATGTTTGGTGCTGTTTGATATCCTCCCTCTACAAGTGTGCACAAAAAATCAGTTCAGAGAATAGGTGTTTTATTTTGCTACATACATTTTTGAATAGAAAATTCCCGCCATAATTTGTTACATTATTTAATTTTGTTTTTTAGTGATACTCCAAATATTAGTTTAACAACTTCTCCTCTGCCTAGATGGTTTCTGGTAATCCAGCTGAGGGTTTCACTCTTATCGCTGAATTACTGAAAACAATAGAGAAACGTTTGGTGTTTTCTTATGGAAAATATTTAACGGCATTCTCGTGAGCTTGTGGTAAGAATTGAGATTCCAAGAGTAAAGTCTCTAAAATGCTTTTTACATAATAGGAAGAATGTCGAAGGGAGAACTTTTACGTATTTGTTTCTGAAGATGGTTGAGTACTTGTCCACAAATTACACAAAGAGTTGCATTAGAACTTTGAGAAGTAACCATGGCTGGCAGTAGAGTTGAGGTGGTCAACAGCAAGGGTTGCTCGAGGCTGTTCGTCGGGTTTCCCTCTTCCCTGTCTTCTTTTCGAGGTTTGCAGTCCTTCGAGCCCATGTCACCGGCTTCTTCTGTTATGTCCGAGCCCAAGCTTCAAGCCAGTGGTCCCTTCTCTGGTTTGGTTATATGTGTTACTGGACTATCCAAAGGTATCCGTATAAAGAGTTTCAGATATCTTATTTATAGATGGCAATTTCAATCTCAATGATGTTTTAAACATTTCAAATTTGGGGTTTGTGATCTTGAAACTAAGCTAGCCATGGATTTTAGTTATTTAAAAACATGGAATGTGATTAGAGTTATGTTCTTGGGATAGGCCATTTTAACTTTGTATCTCAGCTTAGTTTACTTGGTATTATATTGATATTTGAATCACATAATAGGACTGTAGTGTAATAATAGAGTTCACGATTCCAAGTGGTAAGCTATTTGTCTTGTAAAATCATCTGTGATCTCTCTCTCTCTCTCTCTCTCTCTTTCTCTCTGGATTTTGAATCAGCTGATTTCTCAGTCGTATTTCTTGGACAAGATTAAAACCTGTGAAAAGAAGCACCTGCCATAGGTTGAAAAAGAAAAAAACAAAAAAGAAGATTCCAGGAGTGGAACTTGATTGCTAACTTGGAATCTTGGATTATTTGGTCCAATAGAATTCATTTTTGGCAAGTTACTAGCATATACTAGGGCCCTGTGCAAAATCTTAGATCCTGATATCTCCAAGTATGGTGTAATTTTATGTTTCTAAAATTTGCCTAAGATAGTGTTTAAACCATTAGGGGAAAAATAGAAGATATGAATTTAGAAGATAAAGAATTTCTGTCCTCTGGGCTTGCATCAGATTCAAGGAAGAGGCAGGGAAATGGCTTTGTTCTGCCCAGAATACCTCATTACAATTTTCTTTAATATCCTCCTGAATTCTCATACTGTTTTGTCATGAGTGAAGCAAGTTCCTTGTATGACTTATATTGCCATCTCTTTATTTTTTTGGGCATGCTTCATCCACTACCTTTTTCTTGTTTCCAGTATTCTATTACTTTATTGAAGTAATTGACTTATACTAATTTACGCTTATGCTTCATAATGTGACAGAAGCGAGGAAGCAAGTCATGGCTGCAACTGAGAGACTAGGTGGTCAATATAGTCCTGATTTGCATCCCCAATGTACTCATCTGGTGGTACAGATATCCTTTCACATCTCACTACTTTATAGCCTCTAATTTGTAGATATCCTCTGAGTCAGTCTTTTAAAAGGCACCTTAAGCAAATCTAAGCACAGAAGTGAGGCTTATTTTCAGGGTTCACCTCCCAAACCTAGGTGCACCTTACATTTGCTTATTGTTATGCTTTTATGAGTTAGTGTTCAATTTGATGTTTGGATAAGTAAGCTATCATATTGTAGTTTGTAGCCATGCTGTTTAGAGTTTTAACGGTTTAGCTTATGTAGGACTTAAACCTACAAAGCTACAATCTTCATGTTATAACATATATTTTCTTTGAATACACTTGGAAAACCATGGAAAATTTTTATGGATTGGAATGCTATCATCATCTTGTTGGGTAAAAATTGTCATGGAAAGTAAGTAAAACACCTCCATGTATGTTGAATGTGCATTATAGTATTCAAAAAGAAATGTGGATTTTAGTCCTTCTGTCCTAGTGTTTCTCTTTAGCATATGAGTTCTTGCCAATGTATAACTCCCCGCCGTTGTGGATTCTTAACCCTTCTTCACAGCTTTGGTGGACGTAAATTTGAGCATGCTCTGAAGCATGGGTTGAAAATGGGTCTCTTCATAGTTACTCTGGGCTGGTTTTTGGATAGCGTTAAGAGGAATGGTGAGCAATGCTACAACCTTTTTCCTTTTCTTTTAATTTTTACTTACTAGTTAAGCCCGCCATGTGGGTCTCATAATCCTTTAGTCATTTTTCTTTTTTGCAAATTTACACACTGAGAGGCCATTTGATAATAGCTGAAGTAGCTGAACTCAATAACTTATTGTTTGTCTTTTAGTGAATGAGTAACTAAGGAGTTGTGATCTAATGGTTGAAACTGAAGTTGGGTTAATTACAATACCCCCAAATGTTTTATCCATTAAAAGACAAAGCTATATGTCATTCAGTTCAGACATTTCAGATATTATCAAACAGCCCCTAAATCATAATTATCCACTATAAAGGTGTGCCAAAAAGGTGGAATTAAGAACTTGAAGACTATAGAGATAGGGAAGTGTTACAAATAATAGCAGTAAAAGTGACATTTATTTAGAGGAAAAAATTGTAATACAAACTTACTATGAAAAAATAATTATTATACAAATAAAAATAAGGTGGTAATTAATGTACTGTTTTCTTAAAGGGAAAAATATTGAGTACTCAATAATTATACTACTGAACAGTGTTTTAAAAGGCCTGCACACCTCCAGGTGAGGTGCCCCCAAAACACCTTGAGGCGTATGCTATTATCATTGGGAAATTTACCCCCAAAGAATTAGAGTGGATGAGTAGGTTAAAAAAAAGAGGCACAAGAAAAGAATTAAGGAGTGGAACTTGATGGAGTTCGGGAGGACAGAAGAAAGAAAGGGAGATTTGATGAAGAAGATTGAAAGCCTTGACTTTAAAGAGGAAAGGGGAGAATTTGGAGAGGAAGAC